AAAGTCTGAATATTTCTCTAGCTATTAAAGAAATGAAATCCATACCTCAAAGAAAACATCATAGTCACTGGCAAAACTCTATCAAACTTCTAATTAAGAAATAATGCTGGGCCGGCCCCGTGGCTTAGCGGTTAAGTGCGCGCGCTCCGTTACTGGTGGCCCGGGTTGGGATCCCAGGCGCACACCGACACACTGCTTCTCCGGCCACGCTGAGGCCGCATCCCACATACAGCAACTAGAAGGATGTGCAGCTATGACATACAACTATCTACTGGGGCTTTGGGGGAAAAATAAATAAATAAAAATTTTAAAAATAAAAAAAAAAGAAATAATGCCAATTTTACTTGTGTCATGAGGTCACAAAAACATTGATAACAAAACCTGACACAGACCTTAAAAGAAATTTACGGACTAATCCAATCCCACCAATGAAAATAGACCCAAAAATCCCAAATGAACTATTGGCAATCAAATCTAGCAATATATAAAAAAGATAATATATCACAATCAAGTTGCGCTCATTCCAGAAATGTAAACTTGGTTTAATATATGAACATCAATCAAGATTAACTCATCCTATCAAGACGACATACCAATAATTTCCTAACATTCAGCATCTTTCCATGATTTTTCAAAAAAAATCCCTTGGGAATCAAAGCACGCTTCCTTAATCTAGTAAAAAAACTCCAGATTCCAGAGCAGACATCATACTTAATATTGAAAACTTTCCCTCTGAGATCAGAAAAAGGTTGACTATTGCTTCTATTCAACCTTTTATCAGAATTCCTAACCAGTGCAGAAGGGCGAGAAAAATAAATAAATGTTGAAGGGAATAGAAAGGAAGAAATAAAGCTGTAATTATTTGTAGATGATATACGCAAAATAAAAATAATTTCTACAAATAAATTCTTAGGATTAATAAGAATGTTTGGTAAGTGTGCTAAATACAAATGTCAGTTGTATTTCTATTGATTGCTCTGAAAGTTTAGTTAAAACTTAATTAAAACACAGGGAGCCAGATTTCATCTCCAAAAGATATACAAGACTCTACACAGGAAACTATAAATCATTGTGGATATAAATTACAGATGATCTAAATAAAGGACACTCCATTGTCATAGGTTGGAAGAGTCAATATTCTGAAGATGTCAATTTGCCTCAACCTAATCTATAAAGTAATGCAACCCCATTCAAAATTTCCATAGGTTTCTTTTTGCAGATCTCAAAAAGCAGATTCTGAAATGTATATTGAGGCATCATTGATAATTGTCAGTAAAGATCATGGACACTTAAGACAGACTCCCTGAGTTTGAATACTGGCTCCTACCTTGTGACTATGGACAAATTACTTAAACTGTGTCTCAGTTTTATCATCTGTAAAGTGGGGAAAAACAATTGTACCTATTATATAAGATTGTTATAAGGATTAAACATAGTCTAGATGTGTGCTAGGCACACATCTATGTATAGAGTTTGATAAATTAAGTAAATTAAAATAAAAATAGGGAGATGAAGTCTACTGAATATTTTCTAGAGTCCAGAAGAAACTCATGCATATATGGACACTTGGTTTATGATAAAGGTGGATCTACAGAACAGTGGGGAAGGATTATCTTTCCAATGAAAAATACTGGGACAATTTAGTGCACATGGGAAAAAACAAAATTTGACTCCCACTTCACACTATATATAAAAAGCAATTCCAGGTAGATTATAGATCTAAATGGAATAGGTAAAAAAAAAACAAAAAAAAACAAAGCTTTTAGAGGATAATCTAGGAGAGTATCTTTATGACCCTGGGGTAAGGAAAGATTTAAATACTACACAAGGAATATTAACCATAAGGAAAATAACAATAAATTTGATGTTAAATTAAGATCTTATGTGATTAGAAGAAACCATTAAGAGAATGAGAATGTTACACTGAATGGAAAAGATGCTCTCAACACATATGACTGACAAAAGGCTTACATACAAAATATATATAGAACTTCACATAAAAAACAAAAAGAAAAAAAAAACAAAAACCTCTTCCTCAAAACAAAACAAAAAACCAAAACGACAGGTACCCAAATAAATAAATGGACAAAGGACTTTAGCAGGCATTTCACAAAGGAGAAAATCCAAATGGCCAAAAACAAATACAAAAAAGCAATTTAATCTCATTACTAATGAGGGAAATAAATTAGTTGACTACACACACCAGAATGGCTAAAATCTTTTAAATGTTGGTTAACTGGTTATTGGTGAGAATGTGGAGAAACAAGAATTAAGTATTGGAGGAAGAATAAATTGGTGCAACTACTTATTTTGGCATTACTTAGTCAAAATAAAGACATGCATAATCCTATGACCCATCAATTTTAATCTTAAATATACACATCCAAAGAAATATGTACATATGTGAACCAGCAGATACATTATAATTCTCATAGCAGCATTGTTTGTAATAGCCTCAAACTAGAAACAACCTGGATGCGTCCCAACAGTAGGAAGAATATACAAATTATGAGATATCCATAACATGGACTACTATACAGTGACGATACAGAATGAACCAGAGATACATACAACTATGTGACTGAATATTAAAAACACAATGTTGAGTAAAAGATGCCTGACCCAAAAAATAGGCAGTGTAACTCTAAAATAAAGAAATAGATGATTGCCATAAAAGAAGAGATAGTGATTACCTTGGCAGAGAGGGAGGGAGTCCTGACCAGGAAGGGGAACTTGGGGGGCTTCTGAGGTGTTGGCAATGTTCTTTCTTGACCTGTGTGGTGGTTACGAGGGTGTTTGCTCCATAACATACTGATGTTATTTATACGTGTTATGGTTTTATGCACTTTTCTCTATGTGCCATTTTTCACAATAAAAAAATAGAAGAGAGGAAGGTAGGGGAGGTCTGAAAGGTCAAACGTTTCTGAGTGTTGAACCTGGGATTTGTTAAAAGTGGAAAGGAACCATGAGTTTCAAAAATCCATTAGTTATACATTTTAGAGTAGGAATAATCCAGAAGGTGATGGCAGACAGTTTTTCCATCTTCAGAAAAGGGGATAATTATAACTGTCACAGATACTAAAAGAGGAAGAGGGTCCAGGATGACAACTGGTGTTTAGATCCTACCTGGATCCCTGAGAAGAGAAGCAGCATTCTGGAGTGGAGGAAGGGAAAGAGGTGGGTGGAAAGAAACAATTGTTCAGCTGTTAATGCCCATGAACTCTGCTTTTTCTCACCTCCAGACCTTCATATATATTGTACCTTTGTGCCCAGTCTGCTCTTCCCATCATCCCTTCACCTAGCTCAAAGTTGTCCTTGAAAACTCAGCTTAGAGACCCTCTCTTCCAAGAAACCCCAGCCCCTGCCCGCTCCTTTCTAAGAGCTGCCCATCCCCAAGAGTCAGGGTCACATGGCACAGTACCACTCTGCTTTCCACCCCGTGGACCAATCTTTCACCTTCTGCAGATAAGTGACACCTGCATTACAGGCTGCCTGGCTGAGGTCTGGTGCTGACAGTCAGGGCTATGGGCAGAACAAGGCAGAACTGAGAATGCACTGGAGGGGTCACCCCAGACAGGAGACAGAGACAGAGCTCTGGAAGGGCCTTCCTTGCCTGAGATTCCTCCCTTCAGTGGCCTTCAAGAGGAGGAAGCAGGGAAAGAAATGAGTTTGCCTCTGAATTGGGACTCAGCATATGTTCCCATTCACAGTCTTAACCTAGCCTCTCCCCACCCCACAGAAGTGAGTGGGGCAGTTATTATCAGTCTCATTTTACAAACCAGGAAGCTCAGACTCTGAGAAATAAAATAAATACCTTACTCAAGGATCACAGAGGCAGAGCTGGATGGCAAATATTGGCCTCTGCAGCCCAGGGTCTGCCTATAGACATAAGGTGGATACTCAGGAATTACTTGTTCAACAAACTTGTCCTTTGTCTTCCTAGACCGGGTAGATACAGCTGCTGTCCTCAAGTATGGAAATGTACGGGGTTTCCAACACCTTATTTTGGGGAAACTTGGGAAAGGACCAAAAGACAGGGAGCCAAGTGTTTTGGGGTTAGATTCATTGTAGACCAGTGCACTTAACAGCCAAGGCATTGGGTAACCAGCCCCCAGGTAAGAAGCTGATCCCAGGCAGCCCAGACCCCAAACCCATCCCAGAGGCTGGCTTTCCTCTGTCACCTCCTCTGGCTTAGCCAGAGTCCCTGAGAATCAGAGATATGCAATTCAGCAAGTATTTAGGGAGCACCTGCAAGGAGTGCTCAGCAGCAACTGAGGGCTACTGTGCCAGTATCCTGGCTTCTTTGGGGGGCCTACAGATGGCGTGTCAAGAGCCATCCCAGGCTCAGGTCCAGCACTGTCTGAGGAGGTTCATTTCCCTTTCTTGTTCTTAAAGACATTCACATTCACTGATTTGGCATATATTTATAGGCTGAGGAGACCCCTCTGGAAACAGTGGTGCCCACTTCTGCCTGGCAACGTTCACCACTCTCCAAACCTCTGACCTGCGACCTGTGCATGTAATGGCTGACTGCTACTGGACAAAGATCCCTGAACAAACTTGGCCTTCTACAGTCCCATTCCTGGAACTCTAAGTCTAGTCCAGAATGGTAAGTTCAGAGGTCAACCCCATCCTCAACTAAGTTATTTCCAAGAAACTGTGACCTGCTCTGAGCATCTGCCCCATGGAAGAAAGCTCCAATGTGGCTACAGTCTGGCCTTGGCTTGGGTACAGAGTAACTGAAGGGACATTCCCCAAGACCTCAAGGTACCTCCCAAAGCTGTGGAAACTTAATGAGGGTACCCTCTTGCCTCCGGTTCCCACCAAAGTCCAAGAGGCCTCCCACACTGCCTGATGGGGCTGGGAAACAAGGAGAGAAAGTAAGGACGAGACCATGAGCCTACTCCTGAGGTTGGTTTGTCTTGACTTGGCCATTTCTTAGAGGCCCAGTGCCAAGGTCCAAAGGCCTGTGCTGCCTATAAAGAAGAGGCCCACACATCCCAAGAGCAGCCAAAACCAGCTCACCCATTTATTTGACTGAAAACATTAAGGAGAACAACAAAATTAAACAATCTTTAATAAAATTCCTATAGAAAACTCAGTCACAGGGCAAATACTCAGTTCTCTTTCCCATGTCTTTGAGGATTGAGAGCTCCCAATAGTCTTTGGAGAATAAGCAGTAGTTTTGCTGGATGTTGTCAATACTCAGAAAGAGCATCCATTTACACATTCAAACCAGTAGTTCCTATTGCACATATTAACATTATTTGCCATCTAGCACCCTAAATATATGGTACCTCAACAAATAAATTAAAGAATTCCATGTGGCATGAAACCATTTCAATTTGAACTAATATCCTTGAAAAATCACATTATCACAAGTTTTAATAAATATAGTAAGAACAGCTGGCATTTTACTAAAATACTGAATTTTAGGTCTGGAGTTTATTCCATAAAGTTTCCTTTTCATTTGCTTTCTGTTTTGGGTACATTCGCTCAAATATTACGCTCTATGAAGTGAACTCTTTCATAGATACCATGTAAAACTGTATTAACATGTGCCTCATCACAGAAGCAGCTGGAAGAACTGGATCACGTGGTTAACTAAAAAGTAGCTCAGGAAAAAGCTCTGCTTTTTGTAAAACTTTAAAACACAGGATGAAGAAAACCAAAGAAACATCTTTTTATATAGAACTCCCACTAGAAATTTTATAAATATATACGCAGCATATATATTATATTTGCCTCACCAGAAGATTTTCAGCAAGTCTGGTTGGGATGATACTATTGTGGTAGACAAATATCCACAAAAGAATTAATGTTTCCACAGGTTTAAAAGATTTCTTTTGAAAAATAATCATAATTTCAAATTATATTATAAGTTGTAGTTTACACAATTTAAAAAGGGAAGAAAGATACCTTTCTTTTAAGCCTCATTTGGAAAGTAAGAACAGCCACCAGTCCCCAGGTGTGGATAAGCTGGCTGAGTGATAACACTTGGTCACAATATGAAAAAGAAGTATTTACACCTTTCCAGAAAAGTACCAAGTAAAAAAAAAATAAAGAGAGAGAAAGACAAAAAACAATCTCTAGTAGCATTCCTTGGCGTGCAAAGTCAGCAGAAAATGATTATCCATAATGTTGACAGTTTTCATGACGAATCTTGGAAGCATTCAAAAAGCAGAGGGTGGTCATCAGGGATTGTTCAGATTAGGTTCTGTGGGATGCCTTGTTCTTAATTTAACTCTGGGTTCCAGGATTTCATTCCCTTTATCTCTGGCAGGGTCATGTACAATTTAGTGCAAGTGCAAAAGGAAAACTAAACGAAACCAACAAATACATTAGGAGCAAAGGCTGATCGTTAAGATCTGTAGTCTTTCCGAACTGTGTGGGCCATCCAGTTCACTTTAGTAGTCCAGCTTTCCCTGAGTGCCTCATCAAATTTTTGCTTAAATTGCTTGAGTGCTTCTTCTTCACTCTTTCCTAAGGCAAGAGAGTCCTAAAAATGAAGGGAAAAAAATCAGATTTTATGCATCCTCTGTAGTGATGTACAAATATCAAAGTCTGCGTGAGGCTGGCTCAGCATGCCTCCCCAGCCACCATCAAGCAGTGTGCCTCATGTCCTTATTTAAATGCTGTTTGCAGGAGGGAGAATGAATACCCAGGTAGGGTGATAACATGACCTCTGCCAAAGGGTTTTTGAAGATGAAACGAATCTATGATTACTGCAAGACAACTACTCAGCTGCTTGCCGCTACCACTCCTGGATAAGAAACCGTCTCACAGGAAATGACTCTGTTCTATTCTCTGAACATTTGATCTAAATAGGCAGGTATTGCTGAGCTCCACACCCACAAAGTCCCATATACAAAAGAAGGGGTTTGTACCTTAAGATACTGTATATCCTTGACTGATGTGAGCTCAGGAAGCCCTGCAGTCAACATCAGTGCAAAAAGAGTGATGAAAAGATTCCCATGTCGTCGTAAAATCAGATATGCATCCTCACAACACTGGCGGAACCTTTAGTTGATGCGGCAAATCCCAAAAGTATGTTGTTAGAGGGGAGATAGTAAATTTCATAAAGGAAAACAAGAGAGACATATCTAGACTTTCCATTAGAGCTGGAAAGTTTCGACTGAACTAAAGGCTCATTTCTGATTTTTACTTCTTTGAAAATTGTCCCAGGACTAAAATTTACATAAAATAAATCAAGCTCTATAAAACCATACATATATTTTTCAAAAACAAAACTAAATTGAAATTCTATGATAAAAGGCAATATAACACTTAATCCAGGCTTTTATATTTTATGAGACACAAAAAATGATTATAAAACAAGAGATACTTATAATCCACGAGGATTTCTGAACATAAGTCTAGACTAGATTTACGGTCTGACTCCAGAGACTAATTTCTTTCATGTCCCCCAAATCAGTGTCAATGCTCTTGCATTACGCCTCCCTGTCATCTGCTTTCCCTCTCTCTCTTCTTCAAGATGGCCATTCAAGAGGACCACCCAAAACTATCTCCCTAATTTTGCCAAAGAGAAAAATGGACCCAGAGGTATATTCTGCAGAAACTCTGGCAAAACCAGAAATGATAACAGCAATCACTTGGTACAGCCTATAGTATGAGTTGGTCACATCATACAATATATCTCTAATTACCATAACAGCCTTCAAATTTAATTATTTTTGTCCCCATTTTAAGATGAAGAAATAAAGACAAGAAGACAAGTAATGTACTTGGAAAGATACAAACAGTGAAGAATAGATCAGAGATTACAAAGTCTGTCCCTGAACCCTGGCTCCCTTACTGTACTCCACATAGAGTGACAGCAAAATGCCTATCCCTCAGCGTCTCACTATCAAATATCTTAAGATTTTCAGAGAAGTTTCTAAGACAGGTAAAAGGTGGTATACTATTGGAATAAAACACAGTAACTTATTTTAAATTTTTAGCATTCTGTTTCTCCTCTCCGAGTATTTCAGAACCAGAATGTGGATCTGACACGCAAACTCCCCAAAAACCTCCTGTTAGCAGACTGAATATCTGCCAGACCTGAGAATGCCTCAGCTCAGAAATGCTAATCCAGCTAGGGAGAAAGAAATTAGATGTTTTGTTAGATGTGTTGATCCTTGACACAAGGGCAATACTCACCGGCCAAACTTTTCCGTGTTTCCTGTTTTTCCTTGTTGAATCACATGAATGAAATCATAGGTAAGAATAAAAGGCACTCGCTCCCTTTTAATGCCAAATTTAGACTTGAAATTTCCAAGAATATGTCCAAAGTCAATGTGGAAGAGCTGGGGAAAAAAGGGGGGGTGGGAGATTTAACTTCCCTTGTTTTTCTGGTGAGTTTCATATAGAAAGGCAAGATCTCAGCAGTCCTAGACCCCCATGCACTACATCCACCTCATCTGAGCCCTTCTCTCTTTTCATAGCCTACTGGGCCACTTGGGAAGAGAGTGTCTCTAACATTCCTAGGTCTTTTATATTCAATAGTAACCCTGATATTAAACTGCATATACCCTGCGGGAAAGACAAATCTTTAAAACGAAAAATACATCCAAATAATAAACATACACATAAAGAAATATAAAAGAGAAGAGAATACATCCTTGCCCCACCAGCTCCCTCACCACCTTGAGTGCTACTACTTAGAGGTAACTTCTCCCCCCTTTTCATGTGTTTTTCCTGGTATTTGCTTCCATTTTCCTAAAGAGTATACTTATACTTATTTTTTACTTAATTTTGGATTACTGTTCTTATTATGGAAGGTAAAGACTTAGTACTCTTGTGCTGATGTAATGCTACACAATGCAGCACGTTATATCATAATTTCTGGTTAAGTCAACATTCAGTGTTTATTTTGTTCAGACTACGTAAATACATTTCAAAGATAAGACACATGACATTTCCTTTTTTGCTCATCTTTTTCCTTGACAAAACTTTTTTTGGCTTGTGTTCTATGACCTTATCATTAATTCTTCCCAAAATCTTCTTAAAAATCTAAAAATCATTTTCAAAACAGTTTTCCACAGGATCAGGTAATTTGCTGGTTCCTGTCTGGGCTGGTTGTTCTCCAGGCCTGCCACAGAACCATCATTCTGGGCTCTCCCTTCACTCTTCTCCCATTTGGAGTCCCTGTCTCCCGAGTCCCACATCACATTCTCTTTTGGTTTAGACCAGGGTTTCTCAATATTGGCACTACTGACATTTTGGGCCCCATAATTCTTTGTTGTGAGGTTCTGTCCTGTACGTTGTAAGATGATTAGCAGCATACCTAGCCTACACCCACTAGATGCCAGTAGAATACCCCCTCTCCCCAGTTATGACAACCAGAAACTTTTTTAGACACTGACAAATGTCCCCTGAGGGTAAAAGCACCCCAGTTGAGAACTACTGGTTTAGACCCTTATTCTGGTGGATGCCCTTATTCTTCCAGCCTTCTGAGAAAAAATGGGGAGGAGATACTGCTTTTGAGACCTTGTATGTTTGAAAATGTTTTTATTCCACCTTTGCACTTGTCTGATAGTCTGGTTATAGAATTTTAGGTTAGAAATCATTTTTTCTTGAAATTATGAAGGCTAACTTCCACTGTCTTATAGTTTCCAGTGTTGCTATTGAGAAGCCAAGTCTGACTCCTGAACCCTGGTATGTGACCTGCTGGGTCTCTGGAAAGGTTTTAAGACCTTCTCTTTGTGCCTGATGCACTGAATAGTCATGGCAGAGGGACTCTTAGTGTCTTTTCATCCACTATAAGGGAACTTTCGTGTGCTTTTTACTGAATTTCATGAACATCAGCTTTGGGAAATGTTTCTATATTATTTGCTATTATATATACTATAAAACATTATTTTATATTATTTAGTAAGTTCCTTCCCTTTCTCTTCTCTGTTACTTCTTCCAGGAATTCCTATTAGGCTGATAATAGACGTCCCTGGACTGATTCTCTATCATTTCTAGATACTCTTTTTTCTATTTATAAGATATTTTGCTTCTTTTTGGGATATTAAGGGGCAGTTTATAGCATGGTGGCTAAAAAACAGAATCTGAGCCAAACTGCCAGGATTTAAATCCTGGTATGTCCGCTCTCTGTTGCCTCAATTTTCTCATCTGTAAATGGGAATAACGTTACCACTTACTCTGTAAGGTTTTCAGGAAGAGTGAAGAAGTTAACTAAAGAACTTAGAACTGTGCCTTCTACAAGTTAAGAATCCAATAAATATTAGCTGATTTTTAGTTTACACTACTTCTCTTTTAACTTTTTTTTTTCTTTCTTCTTTTCATTTCCAAGAATTCTACTTTCTGATTTTTAAAAAATAAAATCCTATTATTACTTTAAGGATGCAATGTCTTTTTTGTTTTGATTTTTTAAATCATCCTCTGTTGACTGCAATTACTTTTTTTCCCCAGAGTTGTTTTTTTTCCCATTTTGCTTGTTTTGGTCTCCACCTTTCATGGTGGAGGGTTCCCTCAAATATCTGCTCAGCTTTGGCTGACCATTCATATCTAAGAATGGGTCACTCAAAAGGTGAAAGAAAATTCTATGTACCTGGTAGGATTGTTGATTGGTGGGCTTACTTGCAGAATGACTAGAAAGAGACCTCAACTCTCAGGATCTGTAGGTCTTTTCACTGGAACCAATCAAATTCTCTTGAGAAGGAACCATCTAGTCTCTTGCTGAGAGTAGGGATATACACCTGGTTTCTAGTGTTCTTGGAGCAAAGCAAGTGGAAGTGGCTGGGGATCGTACCATTTAGTATGCCAACTTTCATATCATCCCCATTTTTAACATGGCACCTTTGCCACAGCTTCTGCAGAACCTGGTGTCCTTGAGTCAGAAGAATCAGTTTCTTCAAGGAGTAAATCCTCTCTCCTACACGGAGTTGGGAAGGGGACTTGAGCACCTAAATGCTCCATATACAAACTGCCAATCAATCCTGTTTTCAGCCTCTTCTCCTATTGCCACCTTCAGCAGTACCTAGTGCCTCTGATTCCAGAGATTTTCTCGGACTGACATACCCCTCTACAAGTACGCAGGTTTCCATTTTCTCAGCTATGCTAAGTCATTGCTGCTTTTCCATTTTGCTTTCTATCATCCCCAAATCTCTTGATGTCTTTCACCCACCATGGCCTCTTTCCCTATTATCTTTGACTTCTTGGATTTACCTATTTCTCATTCCTTAATATATATTAGAAGAGTGTCAGAAAAGAATGGAGAAAAACCTATGGGTTCAACCTGATTTACCAGAAGTCTGAGGGAACCCTTTTAAGTATGAACACAAAGTTCAACTCTCAAAGCCCCAAGCCAGAACTACCTAGCTCTCCCAGGAGGTTTAAAACTCTGGGTCCCACCTAGGTCCAGAGCTCACAAAGTGACCCAAAAATTTTCATTCTGGAATGCCCCTAGTGGCACGGAATTGCAAGGGTGGCTAAACTGAAAAATTATCCCAATTATCTCATCTGTCTTTGCTTAATATAACTAACAAACATAAGCCACTCCAAAAAATGAGAAATTTTTCATGTGAAAACTAAGAGCTTCTTCATAAATAACATTCTCTGGTTCTCTAGCTACCCCAAAAATGATATTATTCTTCCTCCGTTTCTCCCTACTCCCATATATGATGAGATTTGATGTTCTAAAAGAGAAAATGGCTCAAGTGGGGTTCATCTCAACTTTTGTTTTTTTAGCATTTGTTATCTTCTTTAAAGTTAATACATCTTGGCCGGCCCCGTGGCTTAGTGGTTAAGGGCGCGCGCTCTGCTACTGGCGGCCCGGGGTTCAGATCCCGGGCATGCACCGGCGCACTGCTTGTCCAGCCATGCTGAGGTCGCGTCCCACATACAGCAACTAGAAGGATGTGCAACTATGACATACAACTATCTACTGGGGCTTTGAGGGGAAAAAAAGGAGGAGGATTGGCAATAGATGTTAGCTCAGAGCTGGTCTTCCTCAGCAAAAAAAAAAAGAGGAGGATTAGCATGGATTTTAGCTCAGGGCTGATGTTCCTCACACACACACAAAAAAGTTAATACATCTTGCACATCATCTGCTCCTTCTACTCTTAGGAACATACATGTTCCAAATATAATTTCTTATATTGAAAGAATAGGTCACTTTTAAATAAGTGTAATAACTTTTTAAACATTTAAATAAATGCTTATCACCTAACTTTAAGTTAAGAAACTAATGAATATATGAAATAGATGGTACATGAAATAAGGGGTGGGAAATAAAAGAAAAGACAAAGACATGACTCCGAGATTCACTAAAGAATCTGCCTGAGTTTCACAAGAGACTGTGCTGGACATAAGCAATAACATCACTGCGGACCTTGGCAGACTCCGCAGAGCAGCTCACCTGGCCAGTTTTTTTGACCATGATGTTGTCACTATGTCTGTCACCAATCCCAAGGACATAAGAAGCTACACAGTAGCCGGCACAGGACAAGGTAAACTCTTCAATGGCTCGGTCCAGGTCATCCCTGAACAAGAGGAAAAATAGAAGCAACAAAGGTTTTTAGCCTCCAAATGTGTGGGATGAGACCCAATTCACACTTCTGTTTCCTTTTTAATTGTGAAGAGAACTGCATCACAGAGTTGCCAAAACCATATGAGCAGAACATGCTGGATGAGCCAAGACAGTGAGGATGATCATCACAGGAGCAGGGCAGAGATGAGTCAGCTGACTGGCTCAAAGACTCAGATAACTGGACCTCAGACATTCAAACTGCTGTGTCCTTAGAGTCGTGTTTCAGCGGGGATAGAGGGAGGTTCACATGCACAGAAATGAGAGGAGACCATCAGCTTTGCTTGATGATGCTGGGGCTTTGGAACATTTTAGTCAGTTTTGACCTAAGACCAGAATTTAAGAGTCAAGTATTATAGTTCCAACCACTTAAATCACTGACTTAAATTAGAAGTGAGTAATATAAACCCTTTAGAGACAAGACCCTAAGATCAAAATTTGGAAACTGATTCTCACATACAAGTCTTTTGATTTTGCCAATGATAAAATTTAAATTTGACTTCAAAGTCTTTAGCCAAAACTACTTGCAGAGTATTTTCCCCTGACTGTGAAATTCCTTAATTTCCTACGTATTAAGCCTTTTCCAACACAATAACCATAAATAACACAATTTCTAGCACTGTAGTTTTTAGTTTGGAGAGATCGCAGTCTACAAACTCATTTAATTCTATTGTAAAAATCTATTGAAAACTTACTTAAGTTAATACATTAACATAATTACAGAAGTTGATGCACAAACAAAAACTTACACGTTATTTTTAAAATACTTAAATTCTTAGATTACTAGTGTAGGGCTGTGAAATTTGATCTAGATACAGCAGAATTCTAATGCTAACTACCTGAAAGACTTTAGGAAGGCCTATTTGTCATTTTGATCTAAGCTGAAATGAAGCAATAAATAACACTAATATTTCCTCTAGGACACTAATGATTCTAACTGGGAGAATTAGAATTGTCACAGTTATTTGACTGTTTGTTCATAAAACGATAATCAAACAAAATAAACGAACCCAGAATTGTATTCTTTAAGCCAGTTCAGAAGGGCATCTTTGTTGAAGGCTGCTGCAGCAGCCACATTGCTACTGTTCAGCTGAATGTCAGCAATTGTTTCAGAGGTGCTCACAACTTCAATGAGGCCAGAGCGGTCTCCTGTTGCTAAACAGCCATAAGGCAGCATCCTGAAAGGAAAAAAATGGGCATAAAGAGTCACGTGTATATTATCTATAAAATGAAACATTAACGGAGTTTTTTCTTTGATTTTATGCAAGTTTTATTACTATTGATACCCTTATCATTATTGTATTTTTGTTATATGGAAAAATAAGAGTTCTACCTTCTATAAGGGAGTAAATCTCTTGGCTAACAGATGGAGTCATTTACTAAAATTCCAATGTGCCAATTCCAATGTGCCAGCTAAGTGTATAATTTATTAGCTAGTTAGTCTGGTGAAATATTCTATTTGTTTGTGTAGGTGGACAGAAGCACATCAGAGAAAAGTCAAGTCTTTCACTTTTTCCTCTGAATTTTGAAACCACCCTTTATAAAGCACCTAATAGGTACCACACAGCAGGCTAAGCACCTGACACATTACCTTGGTTAACGGCAACTGCATCCTTCCAGGTGTTCAAGCCCAAACCTTAAGGTCATCTCTGACTCTTCTCTCATGCCTACCTTGAAAATGTACACAGAGTCTAAGTACTTCTTTGCCTCCACCCTTCCTTCTGCTACCACCCTAGTCCAAGTTACCATCAACTCTTACATAACGATTCAAGTTTCCTAATTAGCATCCCTATATCATAGTCTGTTCTAAATGCAACAGCAACATAATTCGTTTAAAATATACTCATATTATGTGACTCCCATGACTGAAATATCTGCAATGGCTTCCCACCTTAGAGTGAAAGCCAACATGCTTGTTATCTCTCACAAGGCTTTCAATCTAGTACCCCTTTACCTTTCCTAATATCCTCCCCTTGCTCACTTTGTTCCTGCTACGCTGGCTTCCTTGCTATTCCTCAAACATATCAGGCACAATACTCCTTCATTCCTTTATATATGTTATTTTCTCTGCCTGGAACATTCTTCCTCAAGACATCTACATGCCTTACTCCTTTACCGCTTTGAAGTCTTTGCTGAAATGTCACCACCGTCTCAGTGAGAAATTCCTGGATGGTCCTATTTAAAATTGCAACACTATTAGTAACACAATACTTGCTCTCTCTTCCCTGGTTTATTTTCCTCGCTAGCCCTCAACACTATCCAACATCCTGGACATTTTATATATTTGTTCGATTATTGTCTGTCTCTATCATTGAGATGTAAGTTCCATCAGGCAGGGCTGTTTTGTTCACTGCCATATCCTCAGTGCCTGAGAATGTGCCTGGCACAGGACAGGCACTCAATAAAAATATTTTTGAATGAACAAACAAATTTAATAACAAAATCCCTATGAGGTAAGTTCCCAATTTTACAAATGAGAAACAAAAATAATTTGCAAAAAGTCATACACTTAATTAAGTGAAAGATCCAAGACTTAAAACTAGGTCTGTGTGGCTCTAAAACTATCTTTTTAACCTAACACAGTCTCCAGAGTCACTAACTGCACAACAGGCCTCTCGGGCTGCTTCTCATGCAAAATAATTTTTGCCAAATTGATAGGCAGCTTTTTGCTTTGATTTGCATTTATATGATTCCTAGTGAAAATAAAAATTTTCTCAGATCTCTTTTAGCCATTTTGAGAAGAATTTCTTTTGTGAATTAGCTATTCACATTTTTTGCCTGTTTATTAGGCTTTTAAACATTTTCCTTAGTGACTTATATGAGTTCTTAATATATTAGTATTATCTTTTTCTCATTTTGGTTGTAAATATTTTCTCAAGACTGCATTATCATTAGAGCAACTCCGAAATGGAATGAAATACCTTGGAAAGTTCAAATAAAAGTCAGGTGACTACAGAAAATACTATGGATGGAATTCATGGATTCAATAAATATATGGGGGTGCAGCTATGTGCCAAGCATTGTGTAAGCTGTTGGTGATACAGAAATGAGCAAAAAAACAATTCTTGGCCTCACTGAGTGGACAAAGCACAAATGCACAATGTACACGTGATCTTTGTATGAATGACAAATGCCATGAGAGCATGTCAAGAGTTAAGAAAGAGCTCTGTGAGGAGGAAGGACAGCAGAGCTGGAGGAGAGTGCAAGGAGAAGAAACAGTCAGTGTTGGAAAGACTACGCAGGGCCCATAGACCATGTAAGGACTTCTGTCATTCTCCTGAAAGCACTGAGAAAGCCTTTGAAGGATTTCATGAAAGAAAAAGAATGTGTGTACGTGTGGGTGTGTCTGTGTGTTGGGGGGAATGCATGAGTGTGTTAGTGTGTGTAACAATCAGAAGAGTTTTATTAAGTAGTTCCTAAATTTCCTTCCAACTGACAATTCAATTATTTTATGCCTCTTTAAGCACCTTCCTACTTCCAGCAAAATAAGGTTGGAAGAAGAATTGTCAAACTACATGCTGGCAGCCTGATATACCAATAGACTGCTTTACATCTGCATTATTATTTCTCCTTTTAAAAATTTACCCCTCAGTAAGCAAGGTAGCTATGGAGCATGAAAGTTCTTACCAACACCCCTATCCTTATCGTGGCACAACACATGTGAGGTAAACACTGCCCGGTTAAAGTGCACTTTGGCTCACTTTCTCGCAACTCCTCCCACCCCACTTGCAGCCAAACTGGGCAAAAGTCCAACAACTTCCTCTTCAAAAGCAGGCAACGATGAAAGCATTCAGTGTCTTGAGGATGGAATGCTCACAATGGGAAGGAAAAAACATCCTTCTCAGAGAGACAGCTTGACAGAAGTCAAGCTGGGGACAAACTCTTGAAGCCCTGACCATCTTACATGGGCCCCCTTTGCACTCAACTTCTACACTTCTTATAAAGGCCTTCACAACAATTAGTAATGTTTACCTTCCTTTCTCAGACTCTCTGACCCAAGGAGCAATTGTTACCTTTCCACTAGAGCAAGCATTAAAAAATGAAATAAATTCTACAGTAGCAGGGGTGGCAGCCCCATAATCCTACTCTGAATGGATATGTAGAATGTTTTCTCTGGCCTTGACTCTGACACATCGACCCAAGTCTAAGTGGTATCTTAGCTCATTGCCTCCAAAGGAGTGAAGTGTAACTCCTTTACCTAATGTTTGCATTATTTCATCCTTCCAAGACTACTGACACCAGTGTCATCAAAGAACTGTTGTGTAGCTCTCTTAAAAGGGAAGTAAACCTCATTAGTACAACTCAGATGTAAAGTCACAATGAAGACAACTGTCCAAAATTCAACATCACATGTATTTGGGGGTGGGGAAATGGGGGGGTCATAGAGGACTGTCAAATCTACCAAAGGCCAGATACATTTACACATGTAGACAACCTATCACACTTGACAGAAAAGGCTGACTGCCTATTATCTATTGACCAAAGGATGTCAGGGTGTTCTAATACATTGATGGCTTAGAAATTTTCTAATTTAGAATGAAAGATACCAAAAGAGTATTTTGAGACATCAGAGAAAAATTAAAATGACAATTATGCACTTTCATTCATGTTAACAAGACACTGTTATAACAAGTACTAAAATATTCTGATCAAAGTAGTAACATATAGAAGGTACCTGAAGATTTGAGATTGAACTTAAGTGTGTGCTACATGACCCAATTTAACCTGAATAGCTGGCCAAAAGAAAAACAAACACAACAGGAACACTGAAGCATGTATATTTATAGAAACAGTAAAAAATCTTTGGTGAGAAAAAGGTGTTAGTTTGAGATGAACTCAAAAGAATTAAAGTCCTGCATATTTTTTTAACATGGGGTCAGAGTACAAAAAGTCAGCAAACATCTCACTGGACAGACAAGTTCCTTTTTCTTGTTAGACACACACTGCTTCCCATCAGACAGGCACCAGGTTTATTTCTAGCACTCCCACATGTGGCTGCCTCCCTTTGCCAGAGGTCACAATGAACTTCATTTGATGCTAAATGTGCTCTATGTTTGAATAGAATGGGTAAAATCAAAACTAAGAGAAAAGAACTTGGTTGGGGTTTTCAATTAGACTGATAGAACTAAGGACAAAGTCTTCAGCTCAGCCTTTCATAACTAAACAAGACTCATCATATGCTCTGAGTCTGCTCTTAGTAAAGAAGATGACTGTGTAGCTTACGTGCTAACATTGAAAAGAACCAACGAGTTACTAGCCTAAGGTTGAAAAGTTTCCCCTCTTTTCCGTGGGTAAATCAAGTAAAAACATTTTCATCAGGGTTTACTTTTATAGAAAGGGTCTTGTAAACTTGTGCTGGAAATGAGCCAGACAGTAAGTATTTGAGGCGCTGCAGACTACTAGGTCAATACTCAATTCTGCAGTTACAGGATAAAAGCAGCCATAGACAATATGTAAATAAACGGTCTGTGGCTGTGTACCAATAAAACTTTATTTATCCCAAAAACGGCAGCCCAGACCCTTCTGGGTTTATGTCCCTCAGGCAGAGTTTCTCACAATCACTCATTCCTCTTATCGATGCAGTATTTCTTACGAGTGAGTAGTTGACCAAAAAACTCGCTACCTATTCAAAACTACTAATTCTATTTTTACACAGCTGTATTAGAAATTCTCCCTAATTTAAAAGCAACTCTTGGGGCCGGCCCGGTGGCGTAGTGGTTAAGTGTGCACGCTCTGCTTCGGCGGCCCGGGGTTCTCAGGTTCAGATCCTGGGCACGCACTGACACACTGCTTGTCAAGCCATGCTGTGGCGGTGTCCCATATAAAGCAGAGGAAGATGGGAACGGATGTTAGCCCAGGGCCAATCTTCCTCAGCAAAAAGAGGAGGATTCGCAACAGATGTTAGCTCAGGGCTAATCTTCCTCACACACACACAAACAAAAATGCAACTCTCATTTATGGAGCTCAAAGAGTCCTTTTTATATGAACTATAATCTCTCTTCCTTATTCCAATCACATCTAAAAGTCCCATGAAAGGAACAACACCCAGAGCAAATTGCTCTTTTTACCTCAACAGCTCTGGAAAAGTTTACCCTGGAAGGATCTAAGACTAGAAAACTCTTTCTTAAAAACAACAACAACAACAACGGAATATTACATATTTTTGGCACCAGAACAC